GGCATACTTGCTTCACGTGCAAGGGCCGCCACAACACCCTACTGCACCGTGGGACCCCTCCGTCAGCGCCCTCTGCAGCAGTTGTCCGATCTCCACAGAATATCGAAGATTACAGCTTACAGTCCACTACGTCTAATGTACAAAGTTATTTCTCATCAAATATGCAAGGCGTTCTCTTAGGCACGGCGGTGGTAAATATCCTCCACTTGAGCACCATCTACATGGCACGAGCTTTCATCGACTCCGGGTCAGAAGGAACGATCATATCGAAACCTTTGCGTAATCTAATCAAGCTGCCTTTCCAGAAGGTGCAGGCCCAGGTATCCGGGCTCAACGGTGTGGTATCAGGCGACGCGCGGAAGATGTGCAGCTTCAAGCTTGTTTCGCCTGCAAAGCCAAGGCTACAAGTTGCGGCCTCCGCGTTCGTGTTGCCACATTTGGCAGGCAACCTGCCATCGTACCCGATCCCCCAAAGCGTGCGTGAGAGATATACCAAAGATAAAGTTGGCGGATCCCTACTTCTTCCAAAGCCCCCAGATAGACGTCCTTCATGGGGCAGATGTGCTGCCATCAATACTACTGGATGGTGTCCGGCCCAACATTTTCGGCACCCTGCTGGGTCAGGAAACTATTTTCGGATGGATCTTGACCGGTCCGGTGGCCACTTCGGAACGCAAATCCATCTCGTCCTTCTCCACAAGGGTTTCGGTGAGCACAGAGCCCTCACTGGACACGCTCCTTTTGAAGTTTTGGGAGGTGGAGGATCTACCCGCAACTCGGGTAAAGGAAGCATATTTAGTCTGCGAGCAAAACTTCTTGCAAACAACGCGGAGACAAGAAGATAGGAGGTACATAGTGTCGCTGCCTTTTAAGGACCCACAACGAATCGACTTGGGTCACTCAAGGTCCATCGCACTGGCTCAGTTCCTGAAGAATGAAGCGCGCTTAAAAAGGAACGTTCCGTTAAAAGAGGACTGGCACGCAATATCCGATAGCCAGTCAACTCATCTGCGATTACATGTACGTGGATGATGTGCTAGCCGGCGCCCACACGAAGGAGGCCACAGTCGCAGCTATACGGGAGCTCCAGAAGGCACTTGACGCTGCAGGCCTTCCGTTGCGAAAATGGTCGTCCAATAAGAAGGAACTTTTGCTCCATATTCCCAAGGATCATCTGCTACGGGATTATTTCTTGGAAATTGAGGACGCCAGCCAGACGAAGACACTCGGCACCCGGTGGAGTGCTACGACGACGACGTTGCCAGCGACGTGGATGCCAAGCCCTCCTACACGAAGCGCGAAGTGCTATCGCTGATTTCCAAGCTGTTCGATCCAGCGGGGTGGCTGGCCCCTTTCGTAATCTGTGCCAAGATTTTTATGCAGGAGCTCTGGCTAAAGAAATCGGGTGGGATGATCCATTGCCATCTGAACTACTCAATTAGTGGAGCCAGTTCCTTTTGAGCTATCCAGCTTTGGACCGGATACGGATCCCGAGGTGGATCAATTTTCAGCCCCAAGGTACCTTTCAGTACCATGGCTTTTGCTTTTGCGATGCGTCGCAAAGGGCATACGGGGCAGCACCAGGTCCAGGTCCACCTTCTCGTGGCAAAAACTCGAGTCGCCCCAGTAAAGACAATATCGCTGCCGCGCCTAGAGCTATGTGGCGCGGTCCTCCTAAGCGATATGTGCGCAGCCACGCTTCCTCACTTTCCGCTAAGCAGTTTCGGTCCCCATTTTTGGACAGATTCGACGATCGTGCTATCCTGGTTGAGCAAGCCACTATGTAATTGGACCACTTTCGTGGCGAACCGAGTTTCACGAATCACGCAGTCCACGATGGACAACAGGTGGTTTCACGTGCGGTCGGAGCACAACCCAGCGGACTTGGCAAGTCGAGGGGTCCCTCCACAAGATTTGGCAGACAGCGATTTATGGTGGCATGGACCGTCTTGGCTTTGGATGCCGCAGGAAAGCTGGCCCATCATCGAGCACCCTCCATTCATCACGGAAATGGGCCAACGTACCATTCGAGTGAACTTCGTATCCGTGCCCGCAGGAGGCTACATCCGACCTCACGAAGGAGAAATTCTTGGCCGCTTTTGCGCGCTTTGTGGCGAGAAGGCGATGTCCCCAAGAAATCCAGTCAGACAACGGCACGACCTTCGTGGAAGCATCAAGAGCTTTAGAGCGCGACTTCTTAGAAGCCACTCGAGCGCCAATTGCCGACATCCATGGCCAACAGCTTCTCCTGGAATTTCATTCCTCCTGGCGCGCCGCACATGGGCGGCTTGTGGGAGGCGGGAGTGAAGAGCTTTAAGACTCATTTCTACAAGGCCACCTCGAGTCAAAAGTACACGTTCGAAGAGCTGTCGACGTTGCTGTGCAAGATCGAGGCAGTCCTGAACTCTCGTCCGATTTCTTCCATGTCGGAGGACCCCACCGATCTCCAGGCCTTGACCCCCGACCATTTCCTTACTGGCGGCCCGCTCCTTTCCATTGCCGAACCTGAAATCAAGCAGGAAGCATCGTCCATAATTAACCGTTGGCAACGGCTCAAGGGACTCAACCAGCAATTTTGTCTCCGATGGAAGGACGAATACCTGAAGGAGTTGCACAAGCGCAACAAGTGGAAGCAGCCCCTGCGAGACATTCAGGCAGGGGATCTGGTGGTCCTGAAGGAGGACAACGCCCCATCGCATGATTGGCGGCTTGGCCTAGTCCAAAGAACGTAGCCGGGATCCGACGGAAGGATACGCGTCGTTGACGTCTTAACGTCAAGAGGCCCCATCAAACGACCAGTTGCTAAACTACTTCTACTCCCCGTTCAGGAATCCGTATCCGTGTAGTAGCTACTATGTCTAGTCCCAGCTCCGTGTTGTTTTTTCTATGTTCATGTTTGTGTTTCCACTAATCGTCCAACCTACTCTTTTTCCGCCTCAGCTCCGGCACCCCCCTCGAGATGGCACCACGCAGGACCAGGATGGCGGAGAGCACCCAGCCTCGCGGCGTCAACTCATTCCGTTGCCGCGTATGTCGTGGAGTCCACGCTCTGCGGCGGTGTCGCTGTTTCCACAGGCTGAATCCGGAGAAGCGCCTTCGGGCAGTACTCATTAACAAGTACTGCCCGAATTGCCTGGCCCACGAGCATTCGGGACGATCCTGCAGGAGCCGGGACAAGTGCCGCCGGTGCCAAGGAGATCACCACACGCTTCTCCAGATCGACGAGCGACAGCGGTCGCATTCGCCCTGGCGCTCCTCCTCGTCCCTTCGGACCTTCGAGGTCCGTGTACTCATCGACAGCTACACGCCAAGGAGCAGCATCAACGCTTCCTTTGCGGCCGCCTTGCGTCTGTCCACCAACCAAGACGTCGCCACCGCTGTCGTCCGATCCAGGGCCTTCTCGTCCTTCCGTTTGGATGTCTCCCTCCGCATTGCACCGAATCTTCAACTGCGGACTCCAGAAAGAGCTGTGGAAGGTGCGATCTGAGACGAGTTTGCGACCCTGGTCCTGGCCGATCCAAACTTCTACCGACCATCCACGGTTCCGCTAGTGCTCGGGGCGGACGTGATCCAAGGCTGATCCAAGCAGGATGCCTTCCGGGTCGAGACGGTCGCCCTGTAGCCCAGAGCACCGTGTTTGGCTGGACTCTCTCCGGTGCCTGCCGCCAATGAACGCACTCCAAGCGTCCCCTTACAGCTCACTTCCTGGCTGTGACGTCCCACCTTCAATGCGCCTTTTTTGCAATATATTGCAAGGGGGCGGGATGTTCACGCGAGCAGTAAGGGGTTAAGGGCGGCAGGGTCCAAATTCACCATAGCCGAAACCTCCTCCCACGCGAACGTTTGAGCTGGAGCGCAGCCTCCTCTGGGCTCTAAGTTTAGTTGAAAAACGTACTCGCGTCTTTCCACACCGCAAGTGACCCCAGTGCAGTTCGGTGTACCCTCTACACACATACAAACATTCACATACCATTTGTACATATCACTAAGCACTACCAAACTCTGTACATAAACGTCACAAATAAACCAACACACACAAACTACAACGACCAGCCGTTTTCGTCATTGGGAAGAAAAGGCCCCCTACAAGTATCCAAAAGCCACCCCCCTACACAGTACCATTCTCTCTTTTTATAGCCTGTACCCAAAGGGTGAAAGGGTATACTAGTTTTGTGTGAATGTATGTAACAGGCAGAAAGAGGCGTGGCAGACCCCACAAAGTATATATATTTTTGATCAGGATGACAAGACGAGTCGATATAGCCATGTCCGTCTGTCTGTATGAGCGCAAGGATCTCAGTAAGTACAAGAGCTAGGATAACCAAAATTGGTATCAAGGTTCCTATAAGCCCTAGGCAGATCGGGTTTGTTTATTTTTTCTGATACACCCCCCACTCCCCCGCAATTCGTGTTTTTTTTCATAACTCCCGTAATTTTAAGAATTTGTACTCAGATTTGGCAAATACCTCCAGTTAATGATTATGAGTCCGTATGCCAAGTTTTATCATGATAGGTCAATTCTGAAGAAAGTTATAGCCATAAGTAAAATCGCTGCTCATGCGCTGCCTGCAGCTCTGTCGGCAGCGCTGCCCGCAGCTGTTGTTGTTGTTGCTGCTTTGGTTCAACTTTGTGCTGCATACATACACGCATATAAACACGCATAGGTACGTGATGTAAATGTATGCTGTTTAAACTGAACATAAACATGTATTCTAATTTAATTTAATTAATAAATTTTAATTAATTAATTAATTCATTTTTTTAAATAATTTAATTTAAACAATTTTTTTTTTAATTTTTCCTTTTTGTGGAGAGTACAGGCTATTTTACTGTCGGGCTTGCTCGACCGTAGCGTTCTATCTTGTTTTATTATAATATACTCAACAATTTAAATATTAAATACCATTCTTTCCTTTTTTATTATAATATACTCAACAATTTAAATATTAAATAAATGGAATTGAATAAACTTTTCATTATATTTCCTGTTGTAGGAAAAGAATTGTTAACATCAATGGAGCCCAAGACGATGTTCATCTGATACACGGCAATGTGAAAAATGGAAAACACTCAAAATCTGTTCAGGTAGTGTATTAGAGATGACTGCATTTTACGATGTTCGTCTGTCTCTTTCAATCATTCTTTCTTTCACAGTTTGAAGCACAGATAACATGTCCAGACCGACCATATAATATATGACTATACTCGCAGAACTTGCTAGTCCTTGATGGGCTCAGTATTTTTGCTTATTATAAGTTTATTTACAATATTTCTCTTCCCACACTCACTATAATTTCTAAAGGAGCGGCCAATAGCAAATTACTTTGGTACGTTTCGAGAGCTAGGGCATTGAGTATAATATATACTATGTAAGGCCATACGTAATATGCACGTATATGTACATACATAAATATGTACATAAGTATATGTATGTATGTAGTATGATTAAAAGCATAAATAAAAAAATAAAATAAATTAAAAGCATAATATTTGGTGAACTTATGCAACTGCACAACATATGTGTATAAATGAGCATACATAGCTACAATATTATAATTATTTCTTCTTCGTTTTAAAGAAAATTCCATAAATTCCAAAACACATACTGCTGCGGGCAGAGCTTCGGCAGAGAGTATAATTATGGCTATAACTTTCTTCATAATTAACCTATCGTAATGAAACTGGAATACGTACTCATAATCACTAATTGGAATTTGCCAAAATTCCAAGAATTACAGGAGTTATGGGAAATCACGAATAGCGGGTTAGTGGGGGAAGTTTTACAATAAAAGAAGTGGAGTGGCCCAAGCGCTGCCCGCAGCTGTTGTTGATGTTGATGCTTTGGTTGACTGCGAACATGCTTACACAGATACGAATAGACGCGCATAGACATGCATACACTCACACAGACGCAATTGCTATGTAAATGTGCAATTGTACACCCTTTACGTGAGTTCGAATATCCAGAGAGGTAAAATCGTGTAAAATTTTTTTTTGGATTTTCTTAATTTTTTAAACTTTTACAATTATTCTAAACATATTCAAAATCGACACACCCGACTTTAGCTTTTTACTTGTTTTTCGCTAAAATTGTTGTATATTTTTTTATTATAAGTGAATATCATGCACAATAACTAATGTGTCTGAATATGGGTAGACCTACTAAACGTGCTGCTCATATGAGACATTGGCTTCTAAATGAAACAAACTATGTTAGTGAAAAACGCCTATTTCAACAGAGGAGTCTTGAGAACTTTTCCTAATGAATTCAAATGCAAGACAATCTTATGTGCAGAGATATGAATATCTTCTGTTTTGATTTGTTGAGCTGCGATTCTTGTTGCAGTTTGTTCATCTGACTTTACACCTCTGAGTACGCTGGAATCGTGTATTTTTGCTACACGTATTGTTACGGATGGATTTTCGACTGCATTATACTGAAATTGAATTTCTATTTCACATGATATGATATTTAAATGTACCGGGAGCCTTCGCAGTATATCCGAAACCCATGAACATTTTGTTTGGGGGCCATTGTTAAAACTGGTCTAAATTGAATTGGGACCATTCGGGAAGCACCAGCTTTCAAGTGTTAAAAGAATCATCAACATCGGTTCACCCAGTCGAAAGTTCTGAGGTAACAATAAAAAATAAAGTCAAATTGAGAACGTTCTCTTTGGCAGAACCTAACCAAACACTCATCAAAGTACCATTGAAGTATATTCTTTTCAATAAAAATAAATCATCAATATTGGTTGGAGTCATTTTAAGTTATTCGGAAGCACCAGCTTTGAAATGGTAAAAGAATCATCACAATCGGTTCAACGAGTTGAGTTCACCATTGTAACAAACTTAAAAAAAAACAAGAAAGGAATGCTAAAGTCGAGCAGGCTGAACTCTGAAATACCCTGTACCACCCCACAAAAAAAAAAAATTATTAAAAAATTTAATTTAATGAATTAATTAAATTAAATATAAAATATTCCATACATACATTTACATCATATGCTTGTTTGTGTACTTGTACATATGTATGTGTGCATTACATAATTATGTCTAAGCAGTAACAAATACAGCTGCGGGTACAGCTTGGGCTTGGTTATATGGCTATAACTTTCTTTCTAATCAACCTATCATAATGAAACTTGGTATACAGATATATAATTACTAGATGGATGTTACTACCAAATTTTAGTTCAAAATTCTAATTACGGGAGTTATAAAAAATCGCGAATAGGGGGGAGTATGGAGGTGCATTATTAAAAATGAACAAACTCGCCATTTCTCGAGCTCAGGAGAATCTGGATACCAAATTTGGTTATTCTAGCTCTATTCGTATTCATACAGACAGACAGACGGACAGACGGCCATGGCTATATCGGCTCGGCTTGTCATCCTGATCAAGAATATATAATTGATAGCCTCCTCGTTTTTTGAAGTCGGTTAATTAGGAAATACTCCAATAATAATTCCAGTTTGTATGTTTATGTACATTGTATGTTTTGTATTTGATTGTTGAAAAATACGACGAATTTTGGTGAAAAGCGCATATCTAATGTAATGTTAGCCACATTTGCATGAAATAAATTAATATTTTGCGAAAAAGGGAACACCCTTTAGTGAAGACGCGTTCAGCTTTTTCTTCTGAGTCACTTTTCATATACAAAGTGCTTTCCAAAGTAAACAGGACTTTTTGAATCTAGCGCCCTCTGGTGGCGCTATCTATATGTCGTCTAGTGCGTTAGAATCTGCTATCTTTATCGATTGTCCAGTGAGAATTTCATGACATTTCATCGATTGGAAGTGAGGTTATTGCGTTTTAAGTGTCAAACATACTGACACTGTTATCGGTGCGAAAATGAGCTTCGAACAAAGAGCCAACATTAAATTTTGTTTTAAAATTGGTAAAACTTTTACCGAAACGTTTCAATTGATGGAACAAGTTTATGGCGATGATTGCCTATCCCGTAGCAGAGTGCACGAGTAGTTTCAACGTTTTCAAAGTGGTCGTGAGGACATAAATGACGATCAAGATGTGGGCCAATCAAAATTCATAATTACTGAAAATTCCATCGAAACTGTGCGTGAATTCATCAAAAATCAGCCGAAATCATCATTGAAATTGATAGAAATGGAATTGAACATCTCCAAAACATCGATTTATCGCTTTTTGACCGAACATTTGTGCTTACGAAAGGTTTGTGAACGGTTTGTTCCGCACAAATTGACTGGGGACCAAAAATTGCTCAGAATCCAACATTCGAAGGACATCATTAAAAAGGTAAAAAAGGACAAAAACTTCCTTTACAATATTGTGATTGGTGACGAAACGTAGTGTTTCCAATATGATCCTGAAACGAAACGTCAGAGTGCTGAATGAACGGCACCGGACGAGCCGAAACCCAAAAAATCGCGCATGGAGAAGTCTAAAGTGAAAACAATGCTGATTTGTTTTTATGATTCCAAGGGTATTGTCCACAAAGAATTTGTTCCACCCGGCCAAAACGTTAATGCGGTATTCTACCTAGGAGTTTTGAAGCGTTTGGTGTGCCGTATTCGACGTTTTCGGCCCGAATATCGATCGACGCTTGTGACCGATTATTTGACCAAAAATCACATTTTAACCATTAACCACTCGCCGTATTCACCTGATATGGCACCGTGCGACTTCTACGTTTTCGGAAAAATGCATTTGCCCATGAAAGGAAAACGTTATGCAGACGTAGAGGCCATTCAAAAGGCTTGCACCGTCATAATGGCGGCCATACCGGCCAACGAGCTAAGACACTCGTTAGACATGCTTTTGGATCGTGCAAAAAGCTGTATTGAAGCAGAAGGAGACTATTTTGAATAAAATAAATTGATTTTGCCGAAAAAACCATTTATTCTGTTTTTTTTTTTTTTTAAAGTCCTGTTTACTTTGAAACACACCTTGTATATACCCACTTACAACCAACTGCACACTGATATTTTGGTAAATCAGCCAGGTATTGTTTTATTGTGGATCTTCATTGGTCTGATCATCACGGCGCTCATCAAATAAAACATCTCGTTTCTCAACAATCGTTCTCGCCTCAGGGTCGTACAATCGATAGCCTTTGCCTGCTGCCGAATAGCCAACCATTCGGTACTCATGCCCTTTTGGTTTGAATTTGCCCTTTTCAAGTGCAACCGATAACTTTTAGATGGCTAACGCAGGGCTTATTTCTTGTTCTCGCTTCTATTGGAGTCAGGTTGTTCCTTTTTCGTAGATATACTGCTGTGTTGACTACTTCGGCCCACAAAGACTCGCCCTACTGCATCTCCGTTAATGTGCACTTTACTCTTTCCGCCACTCCGTTCAGCTGCGGGGTATACACCACGGTCAACTACCTTGCAATGGTGTTGCAGGAAGCCGTGGAATGTTGTGTTAACAAACTCGCCTCCATTGTCTGTTCGAATACATTTGAGGTTTTTATCTGTTTGCTGTTTAACCAAGTTTTTGAATACTACGAACTTATTAAACACTTCATCTTTCTTGCGCAAAAAGTAAATTAATAAACGGCTGGACGCCTACATCGACAATTGACTTCGTGTCGAATGGGCCGCATACATCTGCATAAACCAGTTACAACAGCTCTTCGCGATTAGTACTTACCTTTGGAAACGGCTGTACATGTATTTTGGTGAGCATACACGTTTTGCAATTCAAGTTGTCCAGGAAAACAGTTTTTCCAATACTGCACTTTTTCACGGAGCAGTTGACGGACATAAAGCTGCCATTCTGTTTCGGTACATACAGTATATCTGACAGTTCAGTCCGTAACTTCACCTCTCCTCTTCCTTTGGCCTACAAGAACCCAGAGTTAGCTAAACCGATCACTTCAGTTGTAACGACGCCCTGCGATTTGCAGCATCCAACCAGGGAGTCGCTACGAACGAGAGTACAGTAGATGCAAAGGTTGTAAGTGAAGTTGTAAGTTTAGTATAAGGGTACGAACATAGGAAGCGCTAAGACGAACTGAAGCCAAAGACGAAACTGAAGATGAAAAACTGTGCACAAGCAAACATATGAATTTGCTCAAAATATTTCAAAATGCATGCGA